ACCTCTTGTATAGTCTTCCAAGCCACTTTTACCTGAAAATCACCCCGAGCACCTTTATTATCAAGCCATCGAACTTTATCCTCCACTTGATTGGGAGATGGAATAAGGACATTTTGCAGTTGAGGAWAACGTTGAATCSAATCCTCCGRCCRGTTAGAACCAAACCTGTGCATTACATCATATACCGTAGAATTATTGTGGAAACCCTGCCCATTGATAAATSTATAAGACAAAGAATGAATAAGTGGTCCCAACGCGCTCCATGTATCTTCCCAAGCATGCGTCAATAAGCCATTACCCACATCATAGATAAAGAAKCGTCGGCAATGAGGTCTTAAGTCTAAAAGACTCCGTAGGATCCATGACCACTCATTCCTCTTCTTGATAACCCAAAAGTTACGGCCCCGAACACAGTGAGAGTGAATCCAAGAGACCCACATCGTATTTCTTTCCCTTAAAGTATCCCAAATATGTTTGAAAAGGAGACACCTATTCCAGGTCGCAAGTCTTTTCAAACCAAGGCCCCCACTCTGAACAGGCAAGCAAATAGAATCCCAAGCAACACGACATTAACCCCTCTGTCCCTCCGCTTTACTCCATAAAAAATTACGAAAAAGCTTCTCAATTTCATGAATCGTGGCTGCCGGTACAAGGAATACCGACATCCAAAACGTTTGCATAGATTGGAGAACTGAGATAATTAGTTGACGATGCCCTCCATAAGAGAGGAATTTGTTCTTCCAATTTAACAAACGAGATTTAATCTTTAACACAAGGGGATTAAAATCACGTACCTTCAGATGAACCGGAGAAAGAGGAACGCCTAAGTAACGAATAGGGAAAACCCCTGGCTGAAAAGATAAACTGTCACGAATACGGCTCTGATCCTCCATTGACACATTCCCGAAGAACACCTCACTATTCTCCAGACTTGGCGATAAGCCCGATCGTTCTTCAAACAATTGTAAACCACGTTTAATAACCTCCACCGAAATAATGTCCCCTTTAGAAAAGATAAACAAGTCATCAGCAAAGCACAAATGAGTCAATTTAATATCCGCACAACCTTGATGATACGAAAAGTTAACCACTTGCTCTATACACTTCGAAAGAAGCATCGAGAGACCCTCCATAACAACAGTGAACAGATAAGGGGAGAGAGGATCGCCTTGTTTAGTCATATTTAGTCTAACTAGATGTTAATGTGACTACTTGAGTTAGAATGATTCTGAAGGATCCGTAATGGGTCCATTTGGACCTTAATGGGTATAACAGGGCCTATTTCTTTTATTCGAGTCAATTTGTTCAAAATGACACTAAATGGGTCGCAACTAATCTGATTAGACCCTAATGGGTTTATAGACCCATTTCTGCAAAAGGAGTCTAATTGACACAAAATGACACTAATTTGTTCATATTTAGTTTGATCAGGCCTTTTTTTTTGAACGGAAACCAGACAATTTTATAAATAATAAAAAAAGGGGATTACAGCAATGACAAAACCGAATGACCACCACCTAACCAACAAGAAAACCAAAAGACCTTACCACCAAAGTATACCAAGCCACCAAAAGCCAAAAGGAACAGAGCCCAACAGAGCCAACCAAACAACAAAAGATAAAGAAAAGGAGCTTAGCAGTCATACAAGCTCCACAWAACCACCAAAAAACCATCATAGCACAGCAACACCAGGCGCCCGTCTTCTATCCACCCAAGCCGCACGCATAGAAATCGTATTATTGATAATTGTGATGAGTTGCACAGTTGTGCGGCTAACTTCAGAAAAAAGTCTTCTATTTCTTTCTTRCCAAATATAATAAACAGAAGMTGCAACCATTAGCCTCTGCTTTAAAYGCTTAGGTYGACKAGCACGATCCRAAAKAAAAWCCACAATTTGATCCCAAGACGACGGCATAGTCCTCAAGTCCACAAGAAGCAACATACTTTCCCAAACCTCCCGAGCAAAAACACATTGGAAGAATAAGTGAGCATGGCTATCAATACAATTACCACATAACGAACACTTCAAATCCGGGGGTTCATCCTTCCAAATTAGGCGGTCTTGAGTAGGGAGACGTCTCTGACAAGCAAGCYATAAACAGAAAGCATGCTTAGGAATATGACCCGAGAACCATACCGATTTATACCACGGTACAATCGGATGAGTCCCATCTAAAGATTCCCAAGCAGTACTAACCGAAAACAGAGACCGAGAAGTGCAGTCAGCCCYCCACAGAACTTMATCACAAACARCATCATTTAAMGATGGGACAGTATAAGAACGGAGCGTAGWAATCCTGTTACACCACTCTTCCGGCCATACCCCATCGATACTAATAAGTAATTCTCTAACCGATGTGCCAGTCGAGAACCCACAAGAATGTATAAACCGATAGGATAAGAAGGCCGAAAGATGTCCACAWGCCAGCCAAGAGTCCTCCCAAGCATTTGTATCCCGACCATTACCAATCTTGGAGAAAAGAAAACGTCGCAAATGAGCTCGAAGGTCCAACAACTTACGGAAAATCCAAGACCAATTGGAGCTCTTCCGAACCAGCCAGAAATGAGAAGAMCGAAGAATATGACAATACACCCATTGTACCCACAAAGAATCACGATGTCTAAGAATATCCCAAACATGTTTCGCAAGTAAAGCCCTATTCCAGGTGGCAACACGCCTAAT